AAACTCGTCTATACAATGATGATTAAATAGATTTCTATTGTGCTTTGATACGTAAGCACTCATTGCAAGTATCTTGACAACAATTCCAACATTTTATTGAGGTGATATCTTTCTATCGAAATGGAGGTATCTTCTTGGAAGCTCATTAAAAATCGTAACTAGTGCGTTTGGAATTCATTCTATTTTTTTTTTCACTCGCTGCTGAAATCCCTGGACGATTATCAATAACCAATTTCGTAACTTTTAGCTGTCGGTTTCCATTTCCCAGTAACTTTTTTATTAGTTCTTTGATCTGCGAATTTCGATTGAGGCACAAGATTTTCTCATTACAGGAGACATTTTTATTATTTCTAATCGTTCAAGTTTTATTGATTTGAATAAATTACATCAAAGGTACCTGCGGGATTTTCTCAATCGTTTGTGACAGTAAAAAGATGGTTTTGAAGAGGGGAAAATTCTATTATTTCGAGATGTACAAATCAATTAGAACATATACCTACCTGCAATACTTTGTTGAGAGATTCAGGTACCAAAGTTATCCATTTTTGATACTGCTATCGATTAAAATTATAAGTGGTCATTGCAATTAAACAAAAGTAATAACTTTTCCTGAATTTGAATAAACATTTGGCGACACACTGCATGTTATAATATTATCTTATCTAGTGATCAGTCTGCATGTACTTTTTTTCCTGATTTTTGAGTCATACCTATTTGAGTTTTAGTGAAGAGATAACAAGTACCGATATGTTAACTTATTTACTTGTTATTTGTTATACTCATCGTATGTCCAATTCAAATTTAGTTTCAGTTGTTTTCAATATATTATTTTTACGTATTTATTAATATTAAATTATTACAAGTCAAATATATTCTAAAACAAATAGAAAATTCGCTTCATCCTTTCCTTGAATTAATATTCCAGTTTTAGAATACGAAATTCGCTTATTCATTGTATGATTGAGGTTACCGAGCAGGTACCCTTTGTAGCATTTTTTTATTAATAAAATGAAATTATTTTTATTATTATCGTCCTTTCAGGAGTTGTATTGTATATTGACAAGCAAATGCAGTAACAAATAATTTAAAATGTTTACGGATTATATTGACCTCGATCAATTACACATTTTCATGTTTTCCAAATGTACCTACAATACCCGCCTCTCACACACCTGAAGATTCATGTTATTTTAAATTACTTATGCTCATTTTCAGATTGAAAAGTTGACCCACTCATATGTGTATTATATTTTGGCTTTGCACTTTCTGTTTTTTTCCTTAATATTTAACCTATGTTGAACTTTCTTAGTACATGTGCTTACTGCACGTTTTATGTGCAAGGGTCGCTACACTGGAAGGGTGCATTATTGAAATGTCACAGAGACATAATCAAAGCCGAATAATCTCATTCGAACTGAATGACTATAAGGGTCACCACAATAGAACTACAATTATTTGAAATTGCTTTTAAAATTTACGACCAATAAGCGTTTGGAAAGTTGAAAATTTCTTAATCGAAAATTATTTTCTACATGATCGATCGTAGGAAATTGGTAATTATTATTTCACTGCAATCAGATGAATACAGTTGGTGCAAAATTATCGAGCACATATTTGAATAATTTAACAGAGTCGTCAACGTCAATTAGGTATCAACATTTTAAAAATCTGGCCATTAGTAAAGCTGTGAATTAATTTAGTGAGTGAGTTCATCCAAAGCCTTGAAAAGTCGTTGTTTGTTATCGTTGGATTTAGAAGGTTAGGAATGAAGAGGTATTAGAAATAATAGCCCTAGAAAAAAAATTTGTCTCTCTCCAGTCTCTCAGAGTCTTTCAGCATCTCTGAGACCGTTTCTGACAGTCATTCACAGTCTCTCAGTTATTGCCCAGGTGTTTTTATGGATCTCCCACAGTCTCTGTATGAGAGACTCGAACGATAAAATTGTTAATTCAGAGATTCGAGTCTCTCACAGAGAAGCTGAATGTATAAAACTGAAAAGTTGAGAGACTCGAGTCTCTCGTAGGAAGACTGGGACCTCTGAAATATGCTGAACTGAAAATTTTAACCATGTTTATCGAGACACCACTTATTGAGAGATTCGAGTCTCTCGTTCAGAGACTCGATACGAAATGAGGATCTCTCTATTAGCGACTCGAGTCTCTCGTTCAGAGACGCTAAACAGTTTTTTGAGAGTCTCTCGACATCTCTCAGAGACACCTGAGAGACTCGATTAAAGACGGAGACTCGAGTCTCGCTTTCAGAGACTCTGAGAGACTGAACATTTTTATCTCGGGAGGATAACAGAGGACTCTATGGAAGTCAATAAAAATAGGCGAGATAGGTTGGTAGGACATCTTCATGAAGGTCTAGTCAGAAACATATTCGAGTCAGAAACTGGTGTTAGGAGGGATAGAGGTAAACCTAGATTAGATTACCGTTCGCAAGTGTGGGTTGTTCTCGTTTTTGGGAAATCCGAGTTTAGCTCTGGATAGGAAAGAGTGGAGGTACGTGTCCAAACAGTTTTAGGACTAACGACCTTATAATGATGATGATTTGGGATATGTAGTTTTTATAAATTTTTAATAGCTGGAAACTTGTGATCTGTATCTAAATAATATAATTAAAAAATATACGATTTAAACTGTTCACTAAAACTGATTCTAAAGGAGTTTGTCCTACGTAAAAGCAATCACAATCTAAGCATTTTAGCTTAATAATATGTTAATTGTTTTAATGTTTAATTAGTCTTTCATGTTTGAGAAATAACGCCCATCTCTCATTCTCATATTCCTTCTATTCCTACTTTTTAATCTAACAAAAGCACATATTTCGGGATTAATTCCCTATTTTGATTTTTGTCACACGCCATTACATCTCCACAAGCAGGATGACTTAATTACACACTCTGAATATATAAAACGTTTTAGGTAGTACACACTTGAATAATAATAAGATAACATTCTCCAATCTTAAAGGATAAAATCTCAAATCTTACTATTTTATTATTTTTTTTTATAAATATGTACATCAAGATATATCCAAATCTCTTTAGCGCTTGGTTGGTATTTACGTTATGGTATTTTGTGGATAGTCACTTGAAGGTATTACCTCTGATTTTATTAGGTGGTAAAGTAAGGTTTAAGTTGTTCTGAATAAACAGTTGCTCACTTCAGTAAAATGCAATTCTTCATACAGGTGCTCACATCTTATCACAATCGTTTTTTATTTACACTTTTAGGCTTTATACAATTATCACAATTTTTCTTCGTTTTACCTGGTCGTGTTCTTTAATAGTTTACTAAAGTCCGCTAACTTCGTTTATGTACGACCTTAGATTGGTTATGTTTGTATAAACACCGGGGTATCTGGCTCGAGCGCATCCGTATCCCCAAGAGACTATTCCTATTTGAACCCCATTCTCGACAAGTGGTCCTCCTGAATCTCCCTGAAAAGCACGAACAGATCAGAACATTAAATGTAATTAATCCATTCAGAGTATCTTAAGTAATTGTACTTAAGTATGATGCCTTCTGTTATAACGTAATAACTAGTATATGCTAAAATAATTTGATTTTGATTCTGTTTTCGCAATCATTTAGAGCCTTTTTTTAGAAAAATTGAAGTATATTATAACAAGTAAATATTTAATTAAGGATGTAGGAATATGTGCCTACCAGTTAAAAGCAGTTCTGCAATAAATTATGGAATTTGGATGGCTGTCATTACAAAGGAGAGATTCAAATTGAAGTACAACATTTAAAACTTTTGAAGTATTTAATTCTCACCAGTTAGTAATACCGGTGGGGTGGCGGTCCCTCCGGACTATGCCGGAAGATACGGCGGAAGATCCACATTAGCCTTCTTCTAGGAATCGGTGGTGGTGGGGTGAGAAAGATAATGTCTTCATTTCGTTCGTCTCATCTTTCTCACCCGAACCACCACCCACCCATTCCCACGATTCCTGAAAGGAGGCTGGAGAGGGCCTTCCGCCCTATCTTCCGGCGTAGTCCGGATGGACTGCCCGCCCACCAGCATTAGTGGCTGGTGGGAATGAAATACTCAAAAGTTTTTTTTATCTAAACAAGTACACACACTGAGGAAAGTAGCGGCTAGCAAGGCGGTATATAACAGTGGTGCAGACAAAAATGCTTGTTGCAGGTAGAAGTGACCATACTACAGTATAAAGATTCTATACAGTACGTTCACTCGTTTGATCTGCCCAAGGTACCGATATTTTTTGCAAGCCATCATAAATTAACTTTATATACGTTGAACTGCCAAATGCGTTTAGACAGAAAATGTATTTGTACTATAGTTTCACGATAACACTATGTACAAACCAACGTCTGCAGGAGAGAGATGTACGGACATGGCTGGGAAGTAATCCTACTGTAAAGAATCTTTATACTATTTTAGTGTCTTTTGATGGATATTATTTAAATGCCAAAAAAAAACACTAATAATAACAATTAACAATTTATAACAATAACAAGCGAAACACAAGTAACAAAAAGGCACAAGGAGTGAAACATACAACAAGAACAAAGTAACAGAAAGAACAAGATAATACAACAATAGTANATAAATTAAACTACATCTTTTTTTGAAATATATTTCACTTGTTTTGCTATTACATCATTATAGTATGTATTTATACTCGACTTATTGAGTTGATCCAAGTTCGAAACGCAGAAACGCGCGTATAAACGCCATACGGCCCAGCACGTCCACATTCATTGCCCCAGGAAGCAACACCTACTTGGCCATATTGTGATGTGACTAGTGGTTCGCCCGAATTACCCTGTACATTAAAATATAACAATTAATGAAACAAAAATCGCGGATTAAAATTAACTGTGTAGCAAGAATACTAACTGAAAGTGAATAAAGTAAATACATTTCTCAAATGCACTACTGAAGAAATTAGAAAAACAAATTTTTTGAGGTGAAACTTGTACAGTGTCTCAAATAGTATCTATCTCTAACAATTTCAATCTGTGTTATCGTTCTTTGTCTTTTATTAACATTTTCATTGAAACAGCCTGATAATTATGAGATATACCCGAGATAAAAATGTTCAGTCTCTTCAGAGTCTCTGAAAGCGAGACTCGAGTCTCCGTCTCTCATCGAGTCTCTCTGGTGTCGCTGAGGGAGACTATCAAAAAAACTGTTTAGCGTCTCTGAACGAGAGACTCGAGTCGCTCATAGAAAGATCCCCATTTCGTATCCAGTCTCTAAACGAGAGACTCGAATCTCTCAGTAAGTGGTGTCTCGATAGATATGGTTAAAATTTTCTAAGTTCAATATATTTCAGAGATCCAAGTATTTCTGCGAAAGATTCGAGTCTCTCAATTTTTCAGTTTTATTCATTCAGTTTCTCTGTGAGAGACTCAAATCTCTGAATTAACAATTTTATCGTTCGAGTCGCTCATACAGAGACTGTGAGAGATCCATAAAAACACCTGGGCAATAACTGAGAGACTGTGAAAGACTGTGAGAGATGCTGTCAGAGACGTTGAAAGACTCTGAGAGACTGGAAAGAGAAATTTTTGTCTAGGGTAGGTAGACAAATACCTGACAAATATTGCCTCCTGCAGAAAAACCTGCACAGATCATGTTTTCGGTTATTATTATTCTATTTCCATACCTTTGCTGGCAGACATCGTTATCGACAAGTGGTATGCTAACACTTCGAAGATGGGACTGTGAGACGCCATCTTCCCATCCAGTTGCTGTAGCATTGGTTCCAGAACGGATATCAATGTTTGGTGTTGGCAATGAAACAGCTCTAATTGTGTTATCATACGTTAAATCAGATGTTATCCGAACGAGTCCGATATCGTACTCTTCACTGCTCGAATTATAGCGTGAATGAGGGCGGATAGAAACAACTGCAACACTAACACCACCGGAGTTTCGAAAATTCGATCCTGCTCGAATGGTGTACCGAAAAAGAACGTTACCCCTGAAGAAAAACTTTTTATTATAAAAGTGGCTCATTTGTTTCTGATAAATAATTTTCGTTTGACGGTGGGCGTAGCGGAAAAAAAGGTTAGAAATGTGGCGTTACAGACGAATGATGAGGATACCGTGGATAGAGAAGGTTAGAAATGAAGAGGTATTAGAAAGAATAGGAGAACAGAGGACTCTATAGAAGTCAATAAGAAATAGGGGAGATATGTTGATAAGACATCTTCTAAGGCATGAACGACTAACCTAAAATAGGTTACTGTTCAGAAGTAGTTAAGGACGTGGGATGTTCCAGTTTTAGGGAAATGCGAAAACTAGTTCGCGATATGAAAGAGTGAAGGGCTGACGACCTTATGATATTATATTACAGTTTGAAATTAGAAAGCACAAAGGAAACCTAGGTACATTATAGAATGACAGAATTAAGCATTGCGGAATGTTGTCCCTACATGCAGAAATGATGCAACATTTTGAAATACCAAAAACTGAACTGATCGCAGAATACTTAAAGATTAAGTAACGTAAGTAACGATAAGAATAAAATAAAATTTTAACGAAAAACTCCTACAGATATGACGAGATAGAGGCACAAATTTAACATTTCCTAGAACAGTTTCAATCTTGTATGTTAAAATAATCATTCGTTTCATCTTTTATAGTTAGGACAATCAATACAATATCTGTGAGAATGGACGTATGTTCTTTCTTGTTTCCACTTGGGATTGTAGGTATTTGCTGCGTTTTAAACACACTCTTGTTAAGTTACAAAATGCTTCATGAAAAGTACAAAGTGAAAAGAGATAACCGGATAATACAAGTAAACGGTGCAGCAGTTACCATAGAGTTTGCTTAGGTAGGCAAAAGATCAGGGTCGGCTTTATAACTGCCTGGCTGGAATTATATCTATAAACAATCGTCTTTACATTCCTAAATTCCTGAGAATGTTGAACTTTCTTTAAAGTCTGATGCTGGTAACATGTTCAAATTCTGCTTGACTGCATCTCTTTCTGTTACACAATTGGTGTAATGTTATTCCTTTTTCTTTATTAGTGTATTTTTTATGTTTACGATATTCCCTACAACGTCTGTTGTGAGTAAAAGTATGCGTTATGTCAGCAGCTGCTCTAGTCTAGTTAGTAAGTTGAAAGAAGACAGTAAATGCGACATTAAAGATAGTTTTATTGCAAACTATAACAATTTTAAATGTCCCAACTGTAAAGGTAAACCCCATTTCACAATTATTCATACTAGGAAGTATTTACTTACGATGAAAGACAATGTGCAGCGGTAAGAATCCATCTTGGACTTATAATCGATCCAGCACAAATTTGAGACGAGAAATATAGCAGTGTTACCTGATAAGGATACTCACTAATATCAACCTCTGCACCTTCTACGCTCCTGCCATATGGCAGTGTTAATGCTGCTTTGGAAGGAATTGATGCTGCATTGATGAAATTGAAACATCCTACAAAAAATTATCTTACAGATTCGGATTTGAAGCTTTAAGCTTCTAAATAAACGAAACTTTGTGGTTCCTTACGACTTTATTTGTTATCAATAGTATAAAAGATAGCCCAAAATCTACATTAAAAGAGTAAGTTAGAGTAACAATTAGTGGTTCAAATCACTAATTCCAATTTTCATATATACTATATCTACATGAAATACATGATCTTATTTGTAGTAAAATAACCAAACTATTTATGTCCTTACCCAAAAATGAAAATGCTATGCATACAACAGGGTTCATTTTCTTGAAGGCAGACTCTCAGCTGTAATGAATTCAATTATCTAATTTTTTTTTTCATAACCATTGAATTCTTAAAACCATTGGTTCGTCTTTGATTAATTTTTGATAAATATATTAAGTATGAACTGTTTTATCAATTTTATCGTATGTGGATGGATGCATGTGCAGTTCTCGCTGTTATTAATTGAAAAATCTTCTTCGAAATGTAATTAATGGAAAATTACCTAAATTTAAAAAATAATAGAATGTGGTAAGGGTGTCAAATATTATAGATTTTTTGAGGTTGATTATATGCGAGTTTATGCACTTTCAATTGCGCTAAACTTGTGTGTAATGTAAATCTACTGGTGGCATGAAATCATACAACCAACGCGGTAAACGCCATCTGTATTACACTGCTATATTCAGTGGAATTTAATATGTTCAACAAGGTCCATTTAAATAGATGGATATCTATGTTCATGGTGGTCAAAATTCTGTCGAAACTGCCAGACGTTGATCGCAATTTAAATCTTATCGGATCTCATTAACGACAGAACACTGCGTTTTATGAAATCCTTGCATCAATAAGGTCGAAATCACGATCCGTATCTAGCAGTTTCGAGAGAATTCAGAATTCTTTGTCCGATATTGGTGAAATAATTGTTGAAAAGTACTACTATAACTATAAATGAAACTAGATATTTGCTTGCAGTGTATTTTATTTTGACTTTACATCAATTAAGAATAAGTAGATAGTACTTATACTCCAGTTTGCGAGTTGATCCAAGTTCTAAAAGCAGAAACACGTGTGTACACACCGTAGGGTCCAGCACGGCCGCAATCGTTGCCCCATGAAGCAATACCCAATTGACCGTACTCTGATGCAACCAATGGTTCACCCGATTCACCCTGTACATTACAGTAAAACAATTAAGAAAAATAAAACAAAAGGTTACTATGTAGTAAGAATACTAACTTCAAACAATAGTGGTTGTAAACTAAATAGGTATGTTAGCATTTATTGTAAATAATCAGGATGTGTTAGCAACAAATTTTTGTGATTTGTTATTTGAAATTACGGCCTATGTCATAATTTCAAAGCTAAAGCAGCAAAGTAGAGAATAAATATTAGGGAGTTACAGGTGAATAATGAGGATACCGTCGATAGAGATGGTTGGAACACCTTCTCAGGCTTGAAGGTCTAGTCAGAGACGTATTAGAAGCAGAAACGGGAGTTAGGAGGAGTAGAGGTAGACCTAGATTAGATTACTGTTCGCAAATAGTTAAGGATTTGGGATGTTGTAGTTGTAGTGAATATTAGCTCAGGATAGAATGGAGTGAAGGTGCGTATCCAACCAGTCTTAGGGCTGACGACCTTATGATGATGATGACACTACTATATTTCTTAGAAACATTGCTGAATTAATTGTAGGTAGTCTTGTCGAAGATCAAAAAGATAAGGAAGTCCGTCATCAAATCCCGCTTGCTAGAAACCGTCTAGTCGTTCTGTGCTTTTCATTGACATTTTTGCTGGGAGTACTTCAAAACTAAAACCTTTAATGATGAATCGGACAGAAAACGGAAGAGACTGAATGATTATCTGTGGATGAAACTACCTACCTTCTTCTTTAAAAAACTTTTTACAAAACTTTAAAAAAACATACATACCTGGCAAGTGTTACTTGAAGCAAAACCTGCGCAAATCATGTTGTCGGTTATTACTCTGCTGTCGTAATAGCTGTCCTGGCAGACATCGTTATCGATAATCTGTACGGAGACACCTCGCAGGTGAGAACCTGAGACGTCATCTTCCCATCCAGTTGTTGTAGCAGTGGTACGAGGACGAATATAATCATTTGGTAAGGGTAATTCAACAGGCCTAATTGAACTTCCATACGTCAATTCAGATTGTAACCAAGCGACTCCAATATCGTAATCAAGACTTCCCGAATTATAGCGTGAATGAGTGCGGGTAGAAACAACTGGGACTGAAACGCCACCGGTGTTTCTGTAATTCGATCCTGCGCGAACGGAGTATCGGAGAAGGAAGTTACTCCTAAGGAGAAACTTTTTGTTAGATACAATATGTACCTCTTTGTAACATTGCCGATATATTGAAATTGAACGCAAAGGGATGTCGCTATGTTCTGTTTAATCACGGTAATTTGTAGTTGAAGTAACCCTCCACAACGGGTAAATATCAATATCTATCTACGTATATTCCAGTTATTCAACAGTAACAATAATTAAGCATTTAAAATACTTCATTCATAAACATTCAATTTGAAATTTCGACAAAAAAGCTCTTACAGGTACGAAGAGACTTTCAGAATTGATTTGCTTTCCTGAATCCTGAATTAATTTCAATCTTGTATATTGATCATTCCTATTATCATTTATTTAGCATTGAGTAGCCCTTTTTTCACATATATTTATAAAGATATGGAACCGTTTACTTACCGTGAAAGACAATGTGCAGCAGTAAGAACCCACTTTCGGTTTAAAATTGATCCGGCGCAAATTGGAGACGAGCTATACAGCAGTGCGACCTGATAAGGATACTCTCTAATATCAACGTTTACACCTTCTACACTCCTGCCATTTGACGGTATTAATGCTGCATTGGAAGGAATTGATGCTGCATTGATGATATTGAAACATCCTACAAAAAAATATCCTACAGGGCTGGATTTTGAAGCTTTGGGTTTCTAATTAAACGAAACTTTGTGGTTCTTTACTACAAATTTGTTTGTTATGAACAGTGTGAAACCATAGATGGGGTTGTCTAAGCAGATAACCCAAAACGCTAAAGATTAGTATAGTTTAAATCACTAATTTAGAATTTCAGATCTATGTATGTAGAATGTACATGAAATATATGATATTCGTTGATTGAAAATAGCTAAACTAACGGCATACTTACCCAGAAAGGAAAACAGTAAACGTGCAACAGTTATTGGATTCATTTTCTCAAAGGCTTACATTCAACTGTAATGAATTAATTCAGGCAAGATTTTTTAACTTAAATATGTTTCGTTGTTACGTAATTTGGTGATAATTTTTATCGAAAAATTCGACAGCTAAATACGTCGTTGCAAATATTAACTCAATAACCATAAGGACCACTTTTCCAATAATCAAAAACTAAATCTCTGTAAGATCAGTAATTTCTTTTTAATTAAATTTTGATATGTATTGTCATATTAATCTTATCGTTTTAAGTAAATATACGTGCAATATTCGCAAATATTATCTAAAAAGTAATTCTGGAAAATCATCATGATTTTCAAGAATTTTGATTAAGAAAAAATGAGGAAACTCGTCTATACAATGATGATTAAATAGATTTCTATTGTGCTTTGATACGTAAGCACTCATTGCAAGTATCTTGACAACAATTCCAACATTTTATTGAGGTGATATCTTTCTATCGAAATGGAGGTATCTTCTTGGAAGCTCATTAAAAATCGTAACTAGTGCGTTTGGAATTCATTCTATTTTTTTTTTCACTCGCTGCTGAAATCCCTGGACGATTATCAATAACCAATTTCGTAACTTTTAGCTGTCGGTTTCCATTTCCCAGTAACTTTTTTATTAGTTCTTTGATCTGCGAATTTCGATTGAGGCACAAGATTTTCTCATTACAGGAGACATTTTTATTATTTCTAATCGTTCAAGTTTTATTGATTTGAATAAATTACATCAAAGGTACCTGCGGGATTTTCTCAATCGTTTGTGACAGTAAAAAGATGGTTTTGAAGAGGGGAAAATTCTATTATTTCGAGATGTACAAATCAATTAGAACATATACCTACCTGCAATACTTTGTTGAGAGATTCAGGTACCAAAGTTATCCATTTTTGATACTGCTATCGATTAAAATTATAAGTGGTCATTGCAATTAAACAAAAGTAATAACTTTTCCTGAATTTGAATAAACATTTGGCGACACACTGCATGTTATAATATTATCTTATCTAGTGATCAGTCTGCATGTACTTTTTTTCCTGATTTTTGAGTCATACCTATTTGAGTTTTAGTGAAGAGATAACAAGTACCGATATGTTAACTTATTTACTTGTTATTTGTTATACTCATCGTATGTCCAATTCAAATTTAGTTTCAGTTGTTTTCAATATATTATTTTTACGTATTTATTAATATTAAATTATTACAAGTCAAATATATTCTAAAACAAATAGAAAATTCGCTTCATCCTTTCCTTGAATTAATATTCCAGTTTTAGAATACGAAATTCGCTTATTCATTGTATGATTGAGGTTACCGAGCAGGTACCCTTTGTAGCATTTTTTTATTAATAAAATGAAATTATTTTTATTATTATCGTCCTTTCAGGAGTTGTATTGTATATTGACAAGCAAATGCAGTAACAAATAATTTAAAATGTTTACGGATTATATTGACCTCGATCAATTACACATTTTCATGTTTTCCAAATGTACCTACAATACCCGCCTCTCACACACCTGAAGATTCATGTTATTTTAAATTACTTATGCTCATTTTCAGATTGAAAAGTTGACCCACTCATATGTGTATTATATTTTGGCTTTGCACTTTCTGTTTTTTTCCTTAATATTTAACCTATGTTGAACTTTCTTAGTACATGTGCTTACTGCACGTTTTATGTGCAAGGGTCGCTACACTGGAAGGGTGCATTATTGAAATGTCACAGAGACATAATCAAAGCCGAATAATCTCATTCGAACTGAATGACTATAAGGGTCACCACAATAGAACTACAATTATTTGAAATTGCTTTTAAAATTTACGACCAATAAGCGTTTGGAAAGTTGAAAATTTCTTAATCGAAAATTATTTTCTACATGATCGATCGTAGGAAATTGGTAATTATTATTTCACTGCAATCAGATGAATACAGTTGGTGCAAAATTATCGAGCACATATTTGAATAATTTAACAGAGTCGTCAACGTCAATTAGGTATCAACATTTTAAAAATCTGGCCATTAGTAAAGCTGTGAATTAATTTAGTGAGTGAGTTCATCCAAAGCCTTGAAAAGTCGTTGTTTGTTATCGTTGGATTTAGAAGGTTAGGAATGAAGAGGTATTAGAAATAATAGCCCTAGAAAAAAAATTTGTCTCTCTCCAGTCTCTCAGAGTCTTTCAGCATCTCTGAGACCGTTTCTGACAGTCATTCACAGTCTCTCAGTTATTGCCCAGGTGTTTTTATGGATCTCCCACAGTCTCTGTATGAGAGACTCGAACGATAAAATTGTTAATTCAGAGATTCGAGTCTCTCACAGAGAAGCTGAATGTATAAAACTGAAAAGTTGAGAGACTCGAGTCTCTCGTAGGAAGACTGGGACCTCTGAAATATGCTGAACTGAAAATTTTAACCATGTTTATCGAGACACCACTTATTGAGAGATTCGAGTCTCTCGTTCAGAGACTCGATACGAAATGAGGATCTCTCTATTAGCGACTCGAGTCTCTCGTTCAGAGACGCTAAACAGTTTTTTGAGAGTCTCTCGACATCTCTCAGAGACACCTGAGAGACTCGATTAAAGACGGAGACTCGAGTCTCGCTTTCAGAGACTCTGAGAGACTGAACATTTTTATCTCGGGAGGATAACAGAGGACTCTATGGAAGTCAATAAAAATAGGCGAGATAGGTTGGTAGGACATCTTCATGAAGGTCTAGTCAGAAACATATTCGAGTCAGAAACTGGTGTTAGGAGGGATAGAGGTAAACCTAGATTAGATTACCGTTCGCAAGTGTGGGTTGTTCTCGTTTTTGGGAAATCCGAGTTTAGCTCTGGATAGGAAAGAGTGGAGGTACGTGTCCAAACAGTTTTAGGACTAACGACCTTATAATGATGATGATTTGGGATATGTAGTTTTTATAAATTTTTAATAGCTGGAAACTTGTGATCTGTATCTAAATAATATAATTAAAAAATATACGATTTAAACTGTTCACTAAAACTGATTCTAAAGGAGTTTGTCCTACGTAAAAGCAATCACAATCTAAGCATTTTAGCTTAATAATATGTTAATTGTTTTAATGTTTAATTAGTCTTTCATGTTTGAGAAATAACGCCCATCTCTCATTCTCATATTCCTTCTATTCCTACTTTTTAATCTAACAAAAGCACATATTTCGGGATTAATTCCCTATTTTGATTTTTGTCACACGCCATTACATCTCCACAAGCAGGATGACTTAATTACACACTCTGAATATATAAAACGTTTTAGGTAGTACACACTTGAATAATAATAAGATAACATTCTCCAATCTTAAAGGATAAAATCTCAAATCTTACTATTTTATTATTTTTTTTTATAAATATGTACATCAAGATATATCCAAATCTCTTTAGCGCTTGGTTGGTATTTACGTTATGGTATTTTGTGGATAGTCACTTGAAGGTATTACCTCTGATTTTATTAGGTGGTAAAGTAAGGTTTAAGTTGTTCTGAATAAACAGTTGCTCACTTCAGTAAAATGCAATTCTTCATACAGGTGCTCACATCTTATCACAATCGTTTTTTATTTACACTTTTAGGCTTTATACAATTATCACAATTTTTCTTCGTTTTACCTGGTCGTGTTCTTTAATAGTTTACTAAAGTCCGCTAACTTCGTTTATGTACGACCTTAGATTGGTTATGTTTGTATAAACACCGGGGTATCTGGCTCGAGCGCATCCGTATCCCCAAGAGACTATTCCTATTTGAACCCCATTCTCGACAAGTGGTCCTCCTGAATCTCCCTGAAAAGCACGAACAGATCAGAACATTAAATGTAATTAATCCATTCAGAGTATCTTAAGTAATTGTACTTAAGTATGATGCCTTCTGTTATAACGTAATAACTAGTATATGCTAAAATAATTTGATTTTGATTCTGTTTTCGCAATCATTTAGAGCCTTTTTTTAGAAAAATTGAAGTATATTATAACAAGTAAATATTTAATTAAGGATGTAGGAATATGTGCCTACCAGTTAAAAGCAGTTCTGCAATAAATTATGGAATTTGGATGGCTGTCATTACAAAGGAGAGATTCAAATTGAAGTACAACATTTAAAACTTTTGAAGTATTTAATTCTCACCAGTTAGTAATACCGGTGGGGTGGCGGTCCCTCCGGACTATGCCGGAAGATACGGCGGAAGATCCACATTAGCCTTCTTCTAGGAATCGGTGGTGGTGGGGTGAGAAAGATAATGTCTTCATTTCGTTCGTCTCATCTTTCTCACCCGAACCACCACCCACCCATTCCCACGATTCCTGAAAGGAGGCTGGAGAGGGCCTTCCGCCCTATCTTCCGGCGTAGTCCGGATGGACTG